CCTGGTCCAGACATACAGTGCCTAGAAAAAGTATTTATACCCCTTGATTTTTTTCCACATTTTGTCATGTTACAACCAAAACATGTAAACATATTTTATTGGGATTTTACATGATAGACCAACACAAAGTGGCACATAATTGTGAAGTAGATGTAAAATGATAAATGGTTTTCAAAGTTTTTTTTTTACAAAGAAATATCTGAAAAGTGTGGCGCATATTTGTATTCGGCCCCCCTGAGGTCAACCACCTTTTGCTGCAATTACAACTGCAAGTCTTTTTGGGTATGTCTCTACCAGCTTTGCACATCTAGAGTAATGTAGAGATTGAAAAATTTGTGCCCATTCTTCTTTGCAAAATAGCTCAAGCTCTGTCAGATTGGTTGGAGAGCATTTGTGAACAGCAGTTTTCAAGTCTTGTCACAGATTTTCAATTGGATTTAGGTTGCACTTTGACTGGGCCATTCTAACACATGAATAAGCATTGATCTAAACCATTCCATTGTAGCTTTGGCTGTATATTTAGGGTCGTTGTCCTACTGGAAGGTGAACCTCCGCCCCAGTCTTTTTCAGACTCTTAACAGGTTTTCTTCTGTGTTGCCCTGTATTTGGTTCCATCCACCTTCCTATCAACTCTGACCAGTTTCCCTGTCCCTGCTGAAGAAAGGCATCCCCACAACATGATCCTGCCACCACCATGTTTCACAGTGGGGATGGTGTGTTCAGGGTGATGTGCAGTGTTCGTTTTCTGCCACACATAGCGTTTTGATTTTACTCCAAAAAGTTCAATTTTGGTCTCATCTGAGCAGAGCACCTTCGTCCACATGGCTTCTCGCAAACTACAAAGAGGACTTCTTATGGCTTTCTTTCAACAATGGCTTTCATCTTGCCACTCTTCCATAAAGGCCAGATTTGTGGAGTGCACGACTAATAGTTGACCTGTGGACAGACTCTCCCACGTGAGCTGTGGATCTCTGCAGCTTCTTCAGAGTTGCCATGGTCCTCTTGGCTGTTTTCTCTGATTAATGCTGTCCTTGATCTGCCTGTCAGTTTAGGTGGAAGGCCATGTCTTGGTAGGTTTGCAGTTGTGCCATACTGTTTCCGTTTTCGATGATTGATTGAACAGTGCTTTGTGAGATATTCAAAGTGTGGGATTTTTTTTTAATAATAACCTAACCCTGCTTAAAACTTCTCCAAAACTTTATTCCTGACCTGTCTGGTGTGTTCAATGGACTTCATGATACTGTTTGCTCACTAATGTTCTCTAACAAACCTCTGAGGGCTTCACTGAACAGCTGTATTTATACTGAGATTAAATTACATGCAGATGGACTCTATTTACTAATTAGGTGACTTCTGAAGGCAGTTGGTTCCACTAGATTTTAGTTAGGGGTATCAGAGTAAAGGGGGCTGAATACAAATGCATTCCACACTTTTCAGATATTTATTTGTAAAAAAAAATTTGAATACCATTTATCGTTTTCCTTCCACTAAAATTCCAATAAAACACATTTACGTTTTTGGCTGTAACATGACAAAATGTGGAAAATTTCAAGGGGTATGAATATTTTTCAAGGAACTGTAACATTTAGAGCTGAGGCCAAACGGTGTAATCTTGGTTTCATCAGACCAGAGAATTTTATTCCTCACATTCTGAGAGTCCTTCAAGCGCTTTTTTGCAAACTCCAAATGGGCTTTCAATTGCTTTGGAAAGGAGAGGCTTCCGTCTAGCCACTCTGCCATAAAGCCCATATCGGCTGAGGGCTGCAGTGATGATTGTACTTCTGGAACTTCTGTCCCATCTCCACACGGCATCTCTGTGACCAAAGTGACCAATCAGGTTCTTGGTCAACTCTTTTCCTAAGGCCCTCCCCCCCCCCCCCCCCCCCCCCCCCCCCCCCACCAATTGCTCAGTTTGACTGGGCAACCAGCTCTTGGAACCTTCAGTGTAGCAGAATTGTTTTTGTAGCCTTTCCTAGATCTGTGCCTTGCAACAATCTAGTCTCTGAGGTCTGAAGGCAGTTCCTTTGACCTCATGGCTTTTGCTTTGATACAGTATGCATTGTCAGCTGTGAGGCCTATAGAGAGCTGTGTGCCTTTCCAGATCATGTCTAATCAATTGAATTTACCACAGGTGAACTTCAATCTAGGTGTAGAAACATCTCAGCAATAATCATGAGAAATTGGAGGCACCTGAGCTAAATTTCAAGTGTTTTTGCAAAGGGTCTGAATTAATTTTTTTTTTTTTTCATACATTTGCGAACATTTCCAAAATTCTGTATTCACTTTGTCATTATAGGGTACTAAATGAGACAAAAGTTAATTTAAACAACTGTAGTATCAGGCTGCAACATAACAAAATTAAAAAAAATGAACAGGGTCTGAATAATTTATGAATGCACTGTGTATACAGTATGTATGTGTACAGCAGAAAAATGGAAAAAAAAAAAAAAAAAAAAAAAATATATATATATATATATGTATCTCAATCCGTGCTCGCCATAAATGAAAAGTAAGATGTTAAACGATATCTCAATGAACACAAGGACAATTTCCAAAATTTTGACAAAACTGAGGTTTTTTTAAAACATTTCTTTAGCGCATTATATGAAAGTAAGGTTAGAAATATAACTTGGATTACAAAATCTTCAGTTTTACTCAAATTAGTTGATGCAAAAATGAAAACACCCAACAACAAAAACTACTACATCTAGTATTTTTTATGACCTTCCATGATTTGTAAGGACAGCTCCAAGTCTTCTAGGCATGGAATGAACATGTTGGCGACATATTGCAAGATCTATCTTTTTCCATTCTTCAAGAATGACCACTTTTAGAGCCTGGATGCTGGATGGAGAGGAATGCTCAACTTTTCTCTTCAGAATTCCCCATAAGTGTTCGATTGGGTTCAGATTAGGAGACTTGGCCCCTGAATCACTTGCACCCTGTAATTCTTCAGAAATGCAATAGTGGCCTTAGATGTGTGTTTTGGATCATTGTCATGTTGGAACAGTGCACGATGACCAAAGGCACGGAGAGATGGTAGCATCTCTTTCATTATAGAGCAGTACATCTGTGAAGTCATGATACTATCAATGAAATGCAACTCCCCGAAACCAGCAGCACTCATGCAGCCCCACAGAAGGACACTGCCACCACCATGTTTCACTGTAGGCACCATGCATTTTTCTTTGTACTCCTCACCTGTGCGACTCCATACAGTTTTGAAGCCATCAGTTCCAAAAACATTCATCTTGGTCTCATCACTCTGGAGTACAGAGTCCCAGTAGTCTTCTTCTTTTTTAGCATGGGCCGTGGAAAATTCTAGGTGTCTTTTTTTTGCATGGGCTTTAGGAGAGGCTTCCTTCGTGGTGACACGACACATGCCATTCCTCTGCAGTGTACTCCTTTATTGTGTCTCGGGAAACAATCACCCCAGTTTGGTTTGCTACTTCTTTAGCTAACTGCAGTGAACTTGCATGGTGATTTTCATCAACCCTTCTCATCAGAAGACACTCCTGTCGAGGTGATAGCTTTTGTGGTATGGCCTGAACATCTCTGTGAGATGGTTGTAATTCTATCTTTGTAAAAAAAATGTATCACTTATTATACAATATTTTGATTGATAAGTAAAGCTTTGATGATCTTGTGGCATTCACCTTTTTTTGTGTAAAGAAATTATTTTCTTTTTTAGCCTTGTGACACTTCTCTTCCATGTGAGCATGAAATGGGAAGAGGTTTTTTATAAACAACTGTCTGATGGAAACCTGCTTAATGAATAATTAGACTAACCTGTAGTTGAATTCTTGTTAATTAAGATTTTGTTGTCTAATACTGACCATACACTATACAATTTTCTTACAATTTTCTGCCTAATTTCCTTTAGAAATTCAACTATGTAGTGTAAGGGCCTACCTAATTGGATACAATTTGAAATGGTTGTTTAGGTTTGACCTCATATTATATGGTTTTTGGTAAATCTAAAGCAAAATTCTCAAGAAAATTGTATAAGGTTTGGCCAGCCTAAAATTAAGCTTTGCTACTTATATTGGGGTGTATTCATTTTTGCAACATGGTTTTGAATGAATTTGTTAGGAAAAATACTTTTTTGTGTGTGCAAATTAACAAACCTTATTTGCAATCAATGGCCTTCATTTGTGGGAGTATTTTGTAGTAGTGTCCCATAGAAAATGTTGATTCTGAATGGAAAGTAAAGGTTTTCTGACAGATCTGTTGGGGTGTACTCATTTATGCTGAGAACTGTGTGTGTATGTGTGTATGTATATGTGTATATATATATATATATATATATATATATATATATATATATATATATATATATATATATATATGACTTTTTTTTTTTTTTCATTTATTTTTTTACACACAGTATATAAAGTGGGGAAAATAATTATTTGATCCCCTGCAGATTTTGTAAGTTTGTCCACTTACAAAGAAATGAAGGGTCTATCATTTTTATAATAGGTATATTTTAAGTGGTAAAGATACAATATCAACCAAAAATCCAGAAAAAAACACAATACAAATGTTATAAATTGAGTTGCAGTTCAGTAAATAAAATACGTTTTTTGATCCCCTACCAACCAACAATAATTCTGGCTGGTGGGTCTTAATGGCCAGCTGCCACATACTATATGTGGGTGCACAGGATCATGCTATTGTTTGCTGAGTGAGCTCCCAACATAGTGACCCACAGCTCCCAATCACTGCCTACAATAGGGGAGCACTGGGATGGGCTCCTGATCATGTGACAATTCCTGCTACCTGTTCAAGTGGGGAGTTCACCTCACTTTGGAAATATTTTCTCTCCTTTTTCTGTTGTATTTCCAGGTAGATGTAAGTAATGCCCCTTTCTACTGTTGTTAATGTTTGTATATTCTGTAGGTCCACACAAGTTACGAATGGGCTTTGAAGAAAGACAAAAGGTGCTGAGGGACCAGTATTTTTTTTCCTGCCAGTGCAAGGCCTGCACAGAAGAGCAGAGACCCACAGTTAAAGCTTCATGTGAATTCTGCTGTGACAAGTGTCATGCTGCGTTGGAGGTAACTTTACAATATAGAGAATTCTAGCTGAGTTTCTCTGGTATATGCACTGCATATAAAGGTTTTTTTGGGTTTTTCTTTTCAAGGGAGATAACATACTGCGCTGTTTCAGTTTGTCCTGCTCACATACTGTAAGAAGACAGCAACTGGTCCTTAGGTTGCAGAATCTTCAGAAGGCTGTTCAAAAGGCTCGAGAGCACATACAGGAGAACCATCCAGGTGACAGCTCAATTAACATTACAGCACACATTAGTGTTAATTGGTCAGAGAAATGAGTTACTGTATTTCATATGGGTGACAAGGGTAATGGAATATAATTATATATAATTTAAAAAATCAGATACATTTACAATGAGATTAAAAGCCTTCTTTGCATATTAAATATTTGTAGAACTGCAGTACTGGTATTCACTAAATGTATTTCAACCCAGTTTTTTTATTAATTTAAAGTGGAATTCCAGGAAAATCGCTAAATGCCCATTTAAAGAATTTGTAATTTTCTTTAGCATGTCTTGCAATTCAGCAGCCACACTGTTAAGACTACCCAACTATATCTTGCTTTAGGTGTACAGTTTCTTGAGTTGCCTGCCTGGTCATTGTACAATGATCTAGCTGTGTTTAAAGTATGAATTCAGTGTCCAATGACTATGCTGAAGTAAAGAGGTGTTCATTACAGGTTATGTGGAGCTACCTTCAGCTGCTAAGACATCCCCTATATAAAGCTGTCCACTGCCAGCTGGCCTCATTTTTCCCTTGTGTCCTTAGGCAATATACCTCTTCTCCCTACCAAGAGAACCTTACCTTGTATTATCTGGAGTTTTTTATTTTTTCTCTATTTGGAAGATGTATTTCCAAGATGTTTTATTGTACTAATCGGCTGCAAATAGCCACTCGGCTCTTTATGCAGTTTCCAGATCGCTAGACTCTGCCAAACCTTTAGGGACCATACGTGAAACCCACCTGGTGGAAGATGTGAGGCCAGCCTGTAATGTTGCTTCTGCACTGGATCCTGCAGGGGAAATACTCCATAGCAACACATGGAAATAGCTACAGGATTCTTTACAGGTCCAAAGCTGTAGTCGGCCTGGTGCAGAGCCCTGTCCCTGAAGACCCCAGCGGGGGTAAGTTCCTCATGGGATGCTAAAACAGGAAGGGATTAAACCCCCTGCTAATCCTGGATTGGATTACTGGATTGTAGTGAGCACAGTGTAGAAGCCAGTTAACCCTTGCTGCCTGGGCAAATTTTAACTTTCCTCACAAAATCAGGTTTATTTTTATTTTTTTTTGCTAGAAAAATCCCCAAACATATATTTTCTGAAAACAGGCCCTGGAGAAAAAAATTTTGTATTTTTTTATGTTGCATGATTTTTGCACTGCCATTTTTCAAATGCAACTTTTCATGAAAAAGTGCACATAAATGCATTTTAGTGCACACAAGCACAATATAAAGGACAATTTTTTGGTAAAGTTTAAAAGATGATGTTGCACTGAGTAAACGGTTATCAAGCATGTCAAGATCTACAATTGCACATGCCCTTGAAATTGCAACAAACTACAGTACTTAAAAATCTCTAAAGATGTTGCTCTAAAAGACTTTTCCGTGTGTGGGGCAATCATGGGCAATACCCGTGTACATATGCTTGCAGGACCACAGGGAGACTGGGTGCTCTTGTTTAACCACTTCCCGCCCGCTATATAGTGTAATGACAGGCGTAAGGCGGTTCTCTCGTTCTGGGAGGACGTCATTTGACGTCGTCCCATTCTAACTGCGCATGCACGGCTCCGGGAGCGCGCAGCATGGCGATTGGCGGTGCTCTATGTCCCTCAAACACAGCGGATCACCGATCAACGGAAAGAGCCGAAGATGTCTGCTCGGTCATGTGATCACCTGTGTCCAATCACAGCTGATCGCATGTAAATAGGGAAATGCCGGTTATCGGCATTTCTCTCCTCACGCGCAGTCACACTGACAGCTCGAGAGGAGAGCAGAGCCGGTAATCGGCAACCCTCAGAGGGGACATGTGTACTGATCATCAGGGCACTGATGATCAGTGTGCCCTGATGATCTGTGTAGCCCCAGCAGTGCCAGCTGTCAGTGCTCATCAGTGCCACATCAATGCCACATATTAGTGCCTACCAGTGCCCATCTGAGCTGCCTTTCAGTGTCACCCATCAGTGCCAGTCAGTGCCATCTATCAATGCTAGTCAGTGCCACCTATCAGTTCCAGTCAGTTCCGCCTATCAGTGTGCATCAGTGCTGCCTATCAGTGCTACCTAACAGTGCCAGTCAGTGCCGCCTATCAGCGCCATATATGAGTGCTGCCTTTCAGTGCCCAACAGTGATGCCTGTCAATGCCCATCAGTGCCTCCTCATCAGTACCACCTATCAGTGCCCATCACTGCAGTCTCATTAACGCACATCAGTGAAGGAGAAAAATCACTTATTTACAAAATTTTATAACAAAAACTAAGAAAAAAACTTTTTTTCAAACATTTCAGTGGTTTTTGGTTTAAGAAAAAAAAAACAGAGGTGAATAAATACCACCAAAATAAAGCTCTATCTGTCACAAAAAAATGATAAAAATTTCATATGGGTACAGTGTTGCATGACTGTGCAATTGTCATTCAAAGTGTGACAGCGCTGAAAGCTGGAAATTATCCTGGGCAGGAAGGGGTTATAAGTGCCCTGTAGGCTAGTGGTTAAATTTAACTTTTTACATTTTTTTTTTCATTCAACTCTATTGCCATTACAAGGGATCCACAACATCCCTTGTGATAACTGGGGCAGTGCCAGCTACTCTTTAGTAGCTGTTGGGGTGATCCTCCCTCTGCCCTCCAAACCAGCCAATCAACCAAAAAGCCCATCACCTGCTGAAAATGTTGATAATTACTTCCTGTGCAGGACATATATGTATGTACTCTGGACATTGATTAAGCATTCGGCTGAAGGTGCCCCTTTTCTTTTAGAATCCCTTGGGAAGCACGGGAAGTTGCCAACCACCCTTCCATGGTCACAGCAGACAACCAAGATTGCTTGGTTAAATCTTATCTTGGCTCCAAATTCAGTCACTAGCATGTCTGTTGCAGTACTACTGTGTCACCATGTGGTGCCTGGTGCACCTGCACAAGCCGGGCAATACTGCATCTGCACAGGCCAAGCACTTTCTGTGCCTGTACTGTCTCAAAAGCAGAGGGGTTACTGCGACTGCGCCCCCTGCCTCTTCATTTTAGCAGGTGGGAATTTGGACAGGCAATATCTGCTGGCTCTCTCTGCTGAAGGCACATTACAAATGGCTATTATTGCAATACCTTGGTTACTGCAGCCTATAACTGCTTGGGCCTGAGGCATTTCCCCTCCCTCTGTACTTCTACAGAGGTTTACAGGCCTGCCAGATCATAAACTAAGGAAAATTGGGATAAAATTCCCTAGTTCAGGCTCAGCTTTAAGGGAGGTGGTAGTTTATTCATTCCAGGCCCCAGTACCATTTCCTGTGATCGTTGTCCCCACACTTACTCCCTGCCTCCTCTGGCCTTTCGGTAGGCCCATCAGCCACACCAGTCTAGAGAAGAATTTTCTGCCACCATGTCACATTTCTTTGGGCTGAATTTATAACTTTTTTGAAGGCCATTAATAGCAGGGGTCACACTTGTGCCTCTTCAACTTCCTTTCCTGAATCTGTCTTTGATTTTGAGGAGATGACAGTTGAGGAGGATCCCTCTCTTTCTGAGGTATCAGATCAGGGTGACATACCTGCTACAGGGAGTTCATCCAACCTAAAGGATACCATAGCTACTCTTATTAGAGGTGTATGTCATTATTTACCTTTAGAGCAGCTAAGTCTGCTCACCCTGAGGTATCCAGTATGGGGTCCCTAAAATTCCCTAATTTAGGCAAGACCTTCCCTCTCCATTAACTGGTAGAACTCATCCTGTATGGGAACTGGCCTCAAAAGATGAAGATTTTTACTTCTCCAAAACATTTCACCCTATTAAGGGAAATTTATTTCATAGGTGCGTACTTCCTGTAGTAAGTCCTTCTATTTCTTGTCCTAACAGGATCCTTATGGCCCCCACAGAGGTCATTCTCATGTCAAAGAATTTGTAGATAAGAGGTTAGAGGCTCTCTAAATCCACATGCACAGGATTCTCTGGCTTAAATGCTGTTCAACTAAGCTCCCATGCCATGAGGTGTTACCCTTTGACAGCAAACTCCTGTTTGGCCTCTCCGCAGATAGGTACATCAGGGAAATCACAGTGAGTAAGTGTACTTTCCTCCCCAGAAGAAAAAGGATTGCGCCTCTACCAGTAGATAGTCTACACCTGCAAGTCTAAGAAACATATTTTTGTAAAAAGACATGGTTCAAAAAGCAAGCAAGCCAAGACTGTTGCCAAGGCTTTTTCACAGTGATGGGGTGTCCCTATGTCTCAAAGTGGGGGGGGGGGGGTGTCTGTTGGCCTTTTGGTCCCAAAAAATCTAATATGCCTGGGTTCAGCATGCTATTTCCCTTTGTACCAACACTTTCAAACCTTTCTGCAATTCCCAAATCCAACAGTAACTCTAGCCCATTCTGGATATGAAGTCTTTCAACTTGTTCCTATGATTTTGTTTTGCATGGCAAATTCCAGGGATTTTCTGGCCACAATAGACATACAGAATGCCTCATAAATGATGTGTGGATAACATTCTAATTTACAGGCTTGAGTAATTATATCAGTTAACATCCATTAGTCCGACATCTCCCAAACTAATAGCCCATCATGCATATTACCATATCATAAACTAGTTTAGCTTCAGAAAGCAGAATTCACATTTCTGGCTCAATAGCCATCACTGCAGAGTCAAAATTCATAAATAATTCATAATTCTGGGATGGTCAAGTTACATTAATACAAGGCATCCACCCACGTACACTATATTGCCAAACGTATTGGTACATCTGCCTATACACTCACGTGAACTTTAATGCCATCCCAATATTAGTCCGTAGGGTTCATGATGAGTTGGCCCACCCTTTGCAGCTATGGCAGCTTCATCTCTTCTGGGAAGGCTGTCCACATGGTTTAGGAGTGTGTCTATGGGAATGTTTGACCATTCCTCCAGAACGCATTTGTGAGGTAAGGCACTGATGTCGAACGAGAAGGCCTGGCTTGCAGTCTCTGCTCTATTTCATCTCAAAGGTGTTCTGTTGCATTGAGGTCAGGACTCTGCCCAGGCCAGT